GTGTTCGCCTCTCATTCAAAGGTCCCGGGTTCGAATCTGGGTAATAACGGAAAACTTTTGTTCTCTAAAATTGTCTCTTTTCACTTTCTTTCCTTCTCTTTTGTAATATTCTGTTGTCTGCTTTCGTCTCCACTTTCTTCCCCCACCCATTCACCTCCTTTGACCCTTCCACTGGGCTCCTGCACTTTCTGCAGCCTTTCTACTGCTACTCCTTGGCTCCTTCTTACTGCTGTCTTTCAGCCACACCCCTGATCTTCTGGAAGGAAAGATATACACATAGCCTTCTCGGACAATGGCGAAACATCTCGGAGGTCCCGTGTTCAAGCTGCGCACGTTAAAGATCTCTTGGTGGTCCAAAATCGATAAGAGTAGGCTTCGGTCGCCACCCGGGCAAAATTCCAAATTTCCTACCGATTGAACAAATGTTAGATGTGGCCGCGCGCTCATATGACCTTATGCAGTTGCCGGAGCCGTAAAACACTCACCGAAATAAACCAACAAACAAACACAACCACCCCCCCAAACAAAACCCAAAAAAACCAAACGCACTCAGACGTGCAATGTTGTAGTTGTTGTAGCGGGTGACCCGTGTGGGTACGGTTAGCCAGTACTGCACTGCAACAAAACAATTGGCCAAGGTGAGTTGTGGGCAGTAATAATAAGAGAAGCCTACCGCACCGACGCTTCAAAATCGTTCTTGTTACGACACTATAGAACCAGACGCTCGTCAATTTGTGGGCGTACATTAGTATAGAGTCTTTGGTATCATTTTATTATTATTGAAGCTCTTCTGTATATTGTTATTTGCCTTTCTTTTGGTTAAACAATACCCATCTATCTTGAATAGAAGTTTAGAAATTAAATTGTGATTGAAGGAGGTGGGGGTCGCCTGATGTCAAAGATAACGCTAGCGCGAATGATACCACATGAGGAGACGACTTGCCATAAAAAGTCACTCTGGAAGTTTGTGGTGTAAACCAAAGTCCTAGCGTTTTCTTTTTAATGTCGGTGTTTTAACCCCCCCCAACCAAAGATATTAAATACATGAATAATACCCAAAAAAATACATAAATAAGTAGAAGGGACTACCAAAGCTTGGATGTCCGTGGAAACTGTAAATTAAAATATTCTTTGATATACATAGTTGATAGGTGTAAATAAGCACTGTTGCCTGCCAGGCTGTGTTGTGCAGTTGGCCCGGGAATTCGACTTACAGTTACAGTCGGAGGGAAATAGGGCTGTGGGGTGTGATGGGACTTTTCCAAATCCAAGATAACCCATGTGTCTGGCTTTGCCGATACAGAAGTGCCAAATTATTAATGAATGGAGTTGAGACAGCTGGAGAGAGAGAGAGAGCGAGAGAGAGAGAGAGAGAGAGAGAGAGAGAGAGAGAGAGAGAGAGAGAGAGAGAGAGAGAGAGAGAGAGAGAGAGAGAGAGAGAGAGAGAGAGAGAGAGGGGGGGGGGGTTGGGAGGGAGGGGAAACCTTTTGTCGTTTTTTGACAAATTTTTAAAGTGACAAATTGACGCGCTCTTCGGTACTTTGATTGCATGCCTTTCAGGGATCGATATTCCACGTTTTGGGAGTGAAGAGTAAGCGTCGTTTTACAACACAAAGAGAAACAGAACCAAGGGTAGATCAAAGCTTCGCACATGACTGTGAAGACCCTATTTCTCTTCTTGTTTGCTGGTCCGAAATAATTTATTTCTGGGTCAAAGATAACTCCTTTCAACATCGCCCGACTCGATCGCCTGAAACTGAAAACAAACACGTTTGTTTTTGAGGCGATCGAGTCGGGCGATCGGCCCAACCAGCCGATCCCATCCGTAGTGGGCTCCCCGTATTAGATTTCTGTAAAGCAGATGCCGGGCTGTGAGCTAAAGACTGAGTTGATGACCGTTATGCGCAACCTGAACCGTTTGGAAGATCCAGATATTCTTAGATCTATATTTTTCTTCGACGGTCATTTCAAGAGTGCAAATGGTCCATCGATTTAAAGTTCAACTATTTAGGAGACTGTCTGGTTGGACCCTGCAAGTCAGGTGGTGTTCCCCCTTTGAGGGCAAGGATGGACCATAGATACAGTCCCTTGTACTTGTCAGAATGTAGTAGACGCATCTCATCTCATAATACCGGACTCGTAATCGTGAGCCTTAAGCCCCGGTTACACGCAACGATAAATAGTATCAGATTCGTCGTATGGGAGAACTGTCCGTTTTATCGAACTGTGTTGTCTGTTTACACGTTCCAATCTATTGTCCAGTTTTCTTTCGTTCGAGGAGATTCCTCGTCATAAAGCCAATCCCTGTGCGACGACAGCGATTTGCCTTCACTCTATGTGAGAGTTTCGAGCTCTGGACCTAATGAATGAAAGGCGAACACTGTATCTCGAGATCACGAGACCCCCCCCCCCTCCCACTTTTCCCTGTACATTTTGATATAGCAGAAAAGTGTCTTTAGAAAAGGGTGGCCTTACTGTTGGCCTACCGTGTTGTGTGCAGAACCGGAAGCTTTGACTTGACTGCAGATGTGCAACGCACCGAGTGACCTTGATTCAGTTTCACCTTTGACGATCAACTAAACAATAAAATAACTAAAATATACATACAAAGCACCAAATCATGGTCTCCACGAGCTATTTGGCTTTTTTGTACGTTGATTCCGAATATGAAATCAGTTTTTACCTACCATAATTATTTTAAAAAATTTGAGTCCTGAGTTTAATTCTGCGCGGCGGCAAATTTCAAAGTGAATCTACGTCACAGCGTGTCTCCCTCAAGTGTGACCGTGATCGCACGGAAAATATCAAGCAGCGCTTGATTTTTCGACCGAGTCTCCAAACCATCGTTCAATCGTCCAAATTTTGTACAATTTTGTGGTTACAACTAATACGGGGTGCCCACTTCGGCCGATCGCCCGACTCGGTCGCCTCAAAAACAAACGTGTTTGTTTTCAGTTTCAGGCGATCGAGTCGGGCGATCGGCCCGATCCAGCCGTAGTGGGCACTCCGTATAACGTTTTATCGTATGATCGCTAGACCGTCCAGTTTTTGTACAATTTATCGCTACGTGTAACCAGACTCTCTGGTGTAACCGGGCCTTTAGCTCGGTCCGACGCTGTGTCCTTGGGAAAGGCACTTTACACGAATTTCCCACTTGGCTCGGTCCTTTCGGAGATGGACGTTAAATTCAGAGGTCAGGCCTCTTAAATAACCTAATAGTGTTGATAGGAGCGTTAAACCTATAACACTAAAATTGACCTTAGTGTTTGTAGTGGCCTGTCCATACAACACCCAAAAAGGCTTGGAGATCATAAATACTCCATTTCTCTGTCAGACACTGACCAATGCATGTTGTTATCTGCATTCTGAGCGAGTAGAAGTTAATAAGCAGAAAACAGTGACAAAATGGGAATATTATTATAGTGAGTTCGTTGTTAATGGAGGGAAGGACATCGCCGTTCTCTCGGGCTTGACTTTCCATATTTCATGGTCCGCTGACAGATGTCAATCCCTTAAGTTCTTCCTTTTTGGTCCAGCGGACGGTGGGTTTGAATCATGCGCTGCCCTATAGACACGGGACCTCGTCTTTTCCCCCCACTCGTGAGCGACCTACCACTCATACCCCACAACGTCCCAATCATAGGTGGCATGGTGACCTTGTTCTTACTGAAGGTCTTCTGTTCCGCTCTTTTTTTACGCCGGTCGGCCGTCCAGGGGTGCACCGTTAGCTCAGCTGACAGCATGCTGGATTATGAAACGGATGACCGTGGCTCGAGTCCCTAACGAGGCGTTCGGAACGTGGGTTCTTTTGGGGAGTTTGAAGGCTCTCCACCCATTTTGTGCGGTCCTACCGAGGACGGACGTTAAATTTGCAGGACCCGCCTCTTAGATAACCTTACAGTGTACAAAAGGGCATCATCCTAAACAATGATCAATGACAAAGTAAACGAAAATGCAAGCGAAAACCCAACACAGACCGAAGTGCTTTCTTTTCTGACATTGTGACAGGAACCACTCAACAGGGAGAAGGTGTTCTTTTTGTTATAAGGCCAAAGAAATTAATGTCACAACATGGACACCTAGAGACGAGGTCTATGACCCCAGACTCATTTTGTTTGTTGGTTGTGTATCCCCAGACCTGCAGCAACGGTTTGATCGTTTATTTCTATAAATAATAATTTTCTTTTGTTGTTTCTTCTGGATCTTGCCCTTTTTGTGCGTAAATGTATTGGTAGTGCCGTAAAACTCGTGTCAATCAATCAGATTGTGTACTAATGGCCATAATTGTGTTGATGTGCTTCTATTTACTCAAACACTTTACTTTTCCAATCCAGCGGCCATCTGGGGTCTAGCCCTTCGGCCTGTATCTACTCAAACACAAACAGTAATAGTCGGGCACGTTGCCTTTGATGTAGAAGTCATGTATTCGATTCGTGTAAAACATACAGGTCAGCAACTACTCAATCAACCCCTGCATGAAGGGGCCATCATTGTGCTTGTTTGCTACTGCCATCACTAGGAAGAATTGAAGGCCAACAAGGCACAGGTAGACCCAGAGCAACTTATTTGAAAAGCCTGTACAGATGGGTGACGGGGAAAGATCAGGAAAATATAGCTTTGTTGAGAGCATCCAAGCAAAGGAATGAATGGCGAAGCATGATCGCCGATGTCTGTCCGTAGATCTGGCACTTGATGACATGGTATATCTGGGGTTATGTTCCTCTAATGTTGTCTGTCGTTTTGTGTTTCTTTTTTGTGTGTTCTATTTCATCTTGTATTCTTTGTCCCAGCATCTCCCTTTTCGTTGTTTTTTTGTATTGTTTATATTAATTTTTATAATATTTCTGGTAATTTGGTCAGGTTTGACACCCATAGTTTGGGGCATAGCATATTGTACCGGGACAGGGCGCTCGTGAAAACCTTCTTTCCAAGTGATCGCAGTTAATTCGATTTGGGCGTAAGCATTTTCATCACCTTTTTTTTTTCTTTTTTCTTTACAGACCTCCAGCTGGCCGCCGAGCTGGGCAAGGCGTTGCTGGAGAAAAACCGAGAACTAGAGTCTCAGCTGGTCCAGCAACAGAGCACAAGCCAGGACCAAGTACTCGAGATACAGGTGAGGCCAGGTTTTCCTGTCAGTCATTGTCGCCGGATAGGTTCAACGCCCATGTCGACACTCTGGGGTTAGGTAAGAGGCGACACCTCCGAATTAAAAGATCAAGCTGAATGGGTGGAGAGTCTGAAAAACTCCGCAGAACAACCCAAGTTTAGAACGCCCCTTTAGGGATTTGAACGAGGGCCATCTGCTCTGTATAATGTAGTTCAGCATAATTCCTACAGAGATAATGGTTGTGCCCTGACCAGGTCTGCGATGGAAAGGATGGCCTGTCTTATTGTGTCAGTAAATTTCTCTTTCTCCTTCAAATGCCGCTTTTCTTTACGACCCCCTACCCCCACGAATATTAACCCCTTGACCTTTCCCTCCTCCTCCCCCAGTACCTCAAGTCCCAGCTGGACACGATGCGGACAATGACAGAGTCCCGGAACCGGATCTACGAGGAGGTGGACCGCACGGCCCAGGACCTGGAGAAGAACAACCAGAAGTTGACCATGGATGCCAAGGCGGACCGACAGAAGATTGAAAAGTAAGCCAGACAAGTACAGGACGGACTGAACAATGAGTGTATTTTATTGGAGGTATTTTACGCTTCCATCAACACAGTCTTGACAATATTATATAGGAGAGGGGCTTTGACGTTGAATGTTATTGCCAGCCCGGGGCAGGGGGTGGGGGGGGGGGGGGGAATACAACGTCCCTGCAGAAAGATGAAGATATTCGATAAAAATCTAATTTACATAGGTATCGAACTCGGGTCTTCCCTGACACCGATGACAGAAGTTGAAAAAGTAAATCATGCAAGGCAGAAAGTCAGAAGATTAAAACAGAATGTCAATAAAGTGCCCAGAAAAATATATCACACAGTTTTGACAGACAGATGGTTGAAACGCAAGTCATATAAGATTGGCAGATGATGGGAACGTATTCCATAATGTATAATTCGCCTCCTCCTCCTTCTTATCGACGTTTGTGTGGTATAGCGGTTATGCTCTTTCCCATTGCCCGCAGAAGTCGTAAGTTTGATTCCTATTTAAGTGTCCCTCTCAACCCAGGTTGACCCTGACTGGCAGGGTTGAAGCAGCCCACCCCCTAAAAGATCTCAATTGTAATGATAGGGTCGTAAGGCATTTACTGCTACAGTTGTTCCTTTCCCCTCTTACTTTTCTTGTTTGTTTGTTTTCTAAAGAAAAAAAGGAGGAGTAGGGGGGGGGGGGCTGAGTTGGCTTTAGTAGGCCGTATTGAAGCCGCCATCCTTCTAAATGAGTGTCTCAAATTATCCGGGGGCTGCGTGGGGTAGAGTCTGGATCAGCTTGGGCCACTTCAAGTTTCTTACACATAAAAAGGTGTTAGTATTAATTTCTTTAAAAAGTACAGCCCTCTGCCTGTTTTCGGGCTTACACAAAACCATTATTCACCCCCCCACCCTCTCCCCCATATCTCCCTCCCAGGCAGGCCGCTCTCATCATTCAACTCGAGGAGAAAATCGACGACCTCGAGCGGAAACTGGACGACGTGAAGGCGGCGGAAAAGAAAGCCACAAAAAAGGCGCCCGAGAAGCGGCGCACGTCCAGCCTGAACCGACTGAGTCTGAGCGACTCCAAACACCAGGGCTCTGGCTTCTACTTCGAGAACCTTGCGTGGACGCACACGGACCAGTTCAAAAACATCCCGCTCAACCCGTACGAGTTTGAGATCCGCAAACTGCAGGACGCCGTGCAGCACCTCAAGGTCCAGCAGACGATAGACAGAAGAAAGATGGAGGACCTGGACGTGGAGTGCTCGGTGCTGATGGAGGAGAACCAGAGCCTGGAGAAGAAGGTGAAGGTGCTGGAGACCAAACTGTCCGAGGCCATCATGATCCAGTACGAGCTGGAGCGCCAGAGGGCTAGTCCAGACATGATGTCCAAGCGGTCAGTGGCCAGCTCGGCTGACCCGGAGGTGGACATTCACGACGAGCTGCACGAGCCGGAATCAAAACTGCTGGGAGAGATCGAGCACGATGACCCCGAGCTGAGGTCAGAGGCCAAGGCCGTGAAACTGGAGTCTGGCGGCAGTCTCTACAGCAGCACAGGTGAGTAGTGGCCGTGTGTATGAGTGTGTGTGTGTGTGTTTGTGTGTGTGTGTGTGTGTGTGTGTGTGTGTGTGTGTGAGTGTGTTTTACTTTTATTTTTAAAATTCTGTGTTTTGCTTTTTTTTTTTTTAAGACTGCTCATTCTTTTAAACATCTGTTGTTATTTTTTAAACCTGGTGCATGTATTTTCAAATATTTTAGAATTCATTTTGTTCTTTCAGTGTTTGGGGGGTGGGGTGGAAGGGGAGGGGTGCCGGGTGCCCACTGGCTGGTCCTACCTTTGTAGTGTATCCCTTTATTGAGTCTCTCTTAGTCTATCTGTTTGCCTGCCATGCTATTTCCCCGGCTCTGAATGGTCGGTCGTGACCACACCAGTATTCACTGATCTCTCGTAATGATAATAACGGGTAAGGATGTGAAACATAAGGGTGAGGGGGGATGTTGGTAGGATTTTTCCGACTGCTGGCAGATATATTCCAACAGATGTTCAAACCTGAATGTGTCAATAGTTGTGCATTGTGGTGCCAAATCTATCCCGAGGGAGTCGTTCACAATTTTCTGACATCGTCTTCTGTGGTGGAGGGGTTAAGCGCTCCGCTGTCAAATGCAGAAGACTCTAGTTCGATTCCTAAGGTGGGGGGGGGGGGGGGGGGTTATTGAGTTTCTCGGTCTTTCTGCTTAAAGACGTTGTACCCCTTTCAGCCCACCCCCGGGGTGGTGCCACTGACTGAAGTGTCTTTAGGCCGTTCCCAAAGGGGGGACATTTCTCGTTCATGCAAAGTAAAATTGTGAATGGGCTGATTCATCGATGTCACGCTCATAACTGTACCTGATCTACAACAGGGAACTGCTGCGTTTTCTTTCCTTGTCCTTACTATTGTCATTTTCCCTCTACTTCTTTTGTATGTTTGTCACACTCTTTTGACCCACTATTTCCGGGGAGCCTTGATAGTCGAAGCAGATTTTGTGCTGTTGAAGCTAGAGAGGTGAGCAGAGTAAGTCTGATTCCCTGTAAGGACTTCTCTGTTGACCTCCACCCCTTGGCGCTCATATGACGTTATGCAGTTGCAAGCGCCGTAAAACCCCTACTAAAACAAAACAAAACCTCTCAGCCCGAGACGGGCAGGGCGAAGCTCACCTCCTACATTATCTAAATTGAGTCGATGGGGCATAGCACACTTACATAAAAACCCAACTTTTGGCTCCTGAAACTAAATAACATAAAATTTTTCTCGCATCCGCTTTTTCGAGCGACAGGCTCCGGATATACAGGGGCGGGCGAGGTGGGTGGTTGGCGGGTGCTCTGGTGTGGTTTGTTCCTTCTTTCCCATCAAACATTTGTCGTCCTTATCCCTTCTTCTTTTTGTGCTCTCTTGTAACACCTCTAATCAGCTGAGGCATTTATATGACCTTGTTGTGTTGCAAGTGCCGTAAACTCTTTCTTGAACTTTAAAAAAAATAAAACCACACCCCCCCAAAAAAACCCCACACAAAACAAAAACAAACGGGCCGGGCATAAGAAGAAGGGCTGAGTGGGACTACAACAAAAACTTTTTTTTTTGTCTCTGGCGTAAAAAAAAGTACCCAAACGGTTATTTGAGGTAATTGTCAGGTTCACTTTGGGTTTTTAAAAAATCTAGCACCGACTTCAACTTGGTCTGAGAAAGTATGTTTTTTTGTAGGGGGGGGGGACCAAATGGTCGACCCTGTCTTAAGATTGACCAGTGATCATGAACAGCCATCGAAAGAACATGTCTTATCGCCAACGCAGCGTCGGGTGGTTGACAGGTACTCTGGTGTGGTTTGCTTCTTCTTTTCTATCAAACATCTATCGTCCTCATCTCCCCTTCATCTTTTTTATGTTTATCACTCTCTTGTAACACGTCTAACCTTCTGGCGCTCATATGACCTTATGCTGTTGCGAGCACCGTAGAACCTCTACTAAAACTTAAACGACTTCACCTTGGATTTGGTCTCAGAAAATATTTTTTTTTGTAGGGGAAGGGACCAAATGGTCGGCTCTGTTTTAAGATTGACCAGTGATCATGAGCAGCCATCGACAGAACATGTCTTATCGCTGACCGACGCAGCTTGCTGCAGCTGTGCGGATTCCTACCCCCGGCGTCCGGTTTTGCGAGGATCGCTTCCTGGGGCGCTCACCGGCCTTTCTCGGTTATTCTGATGTTCCCTGGGTCAGTCTTATGAAGCCCAGGTGAAACCAAAGACACAGACAAGTACATCAAGGAGGCTGACAGTTGGGCCATCCATTCTTGCTAAGACCATAGAGTTATCTCTGCCTATAGTGTACATGTATGGCTAAGACATCGAAAACACGGTGGGAACGCTGGGGCGGATCTACGCCAGTTAGAAAAAACAACGGGTGACGGCAATGTTGCACCCAGCCCAGTCACAGATTCATTTTCTCTCTCTCTCTCCCTCTCTCTCTCTCTCTCTCTCTCTCTCTCTCTCTCTCTCTCTCTCTCT